ATAGGGCCATATTGATCAAATCACTTCTGCTCTCCATTACTTGCGTAATTCTGAATGTTGGGCGAGTGCATGGCTTATTAATGAAAGTTTACTATTTCAGTTATGTCGGACGTGCAAATTTTTCGACGTTTTCGGCATTGCTTTATCGATGAACATTCTCATTTGTATCTCTCTGGATCGGTTTTATTCGATCTTCTTTCCGCTTTATGCCATGCGAGCCAGAAAAAGCGTCCAAAAAATGGTAATCGTTGCCTGGATTACCTCATTTGCCACCAGTGCCCCTCAAGTGAGTCCTCTGGATCCTTTCTCGTTTTTTTTCTCGCTTGATATTCATTTCACATCCCAGCGTGACGTGATTCCTCTTTTCCACCGTTGTATGGTTGCTGCACTTGAGTGGATCCCCAGATGAAAAACTAAAGAGCCCTTGACGGAGAACATTGCGTTCCAAGGCGTTTCTTAGCAATATGAGCTTGACGAGTCCCCAGTAATCACAGACGTAAAGGGAATAGGAACATAATATACAGGGGGAGAGGTGGGGGGGGGCAAAAAAGGACACTTCGGCCCAGTCACATACTACCACAGAAGACGTGGATACGAGTACCAGGGCAGAAGATACCCAAGATGTTCCTCGATAAGCAGGAGCTGGCTCTCGCCCATCACCTTCATACACCAAAATATGAAGTCATCTCCAATCGCAGCCGGACTGGAGAAGGCCTATGGAATTCACGTCACCTCCAAACAGCTGCGAAACTTCTTGTATGGAGTCACCCATGGACAGCTACCTGGGACCAGCACTCTTGATCTGGAAGACCTCCAACATCGAGCAGCTCCGACAACGTCGCTACGGTCCAGGATATCATCTTCACCGCAGTCGTCAAGCGCGAGTTTGATGGTATGGACCGGAAACACCTGAAATGGGAAGACCGATATTTCTTCGTGGACCCCGGACTGAAAGTGAACGCTGACGTTACATCGCAACTCGAGGAGAATATCCTGCCTTCATGTCGTCGCCTGTACCTTCTTGGAAACTTCGTACTGCTACAGGATTGGGTGCCAGCACATGGAATCGAAAAACTCTCGCCTACTTGGAATCGAAGGGCGTTGAGTACCTGAAGAAGATGGAATATCCAAGCAGGTCACCTGACCTAAACCCCCTCAATTACCCGGTTCGGGCGGAGCTCAACAGGGTGGTCTACAGTGGCGGAGAAATCAACGATCTCGCTGAACTCAGGCACCGAATCACGGTCGCGTGGCAGAATCTCTCGATGGCGCTCATCCAGAAGGCTCTGCGTAGTATCATGATAGTAAGCCAACCGAGGCCATTCCATTGGGGCTCGTTTAAGAGAAGAAAGAATGAATCCTTGGCTAATCGTTGCACATCCTTGTATGGGCCAAGTCACATAAAAATGTTGCTACAATTCAGAGTAGACATGGAATGCGTGGCACCCCCTAAGTAGACTAATTAGCGCTGGGTGCTCTATCCTTTGCTCTTCAACTGGCCGTTACCCTTACCGCGGTCGTCTTAATTTTTCTGGTCAAATTGTGCTATTTGATGGATTGGAATGCTAATATTTACTTTGCAGTTCTACCTCTTCAAAACTGCCACCCATCCTTGTTTTCCGTCCTATACACAATGCGTGTCTCGAAATCTTGTCAACGAGATCTCCACAGGGGTAAGTTACTTAACATCTGGAACTTGTTTTCAGTTCAACCACTTTTTTCCCTTATAGTTCGGAGGATTTCCTGGATTTTTCCACTTATCCTCTTTATTGTTCTATGTTTGAGATTTCTGTTAAGGAATAGGAAGGGGGTAATGGATTATTCAGACATGTAGGCTCAGGTGATCTTTTGGCGGCCCATGCACGACCCTAACATTGCTGAGATGGTGCACCTTTCAGTTGTGAGGCTTATCCTTTGCAAGACGATTTGACCTGTGGTTCAAAAGCTTAGTAGCTTCATTATCATTCCGTTTCTTGTTCTGCAAGTTCTGACTCCAACCTCGCTACAACTTCCTACTAATAGGGTTTTGAAGTTGTTTTGTAATGATAGCCGCAGTTCGCGTTCCGAAAGTTATCACAAGAGTGCTTATGGGCAAAAGTCGTGCCCCAGGCGGGAGTCGAACCCGCACCTCACGCTTTCCGGGCGAGTGCGCTATCCGTTACGCCACCAGGGCCGCTTTTACCCTCTCAGTTCAACGGCAGGTTAAACGTGTGAGTGCTGTAAGGCTACGGCATAAAAGCCGTTAAGCTGAGAGGGTAAAAGCGGCCCTGGTGGCGTAACGGATAGCGCACTCGCCCGGAAAGCGTGAGGTGCGGGTTCGACTCCCGCCTGGGGCACGACTTTTGCCCATAACTCAGCATTCTTGTGATAATCTCCTGATAAGGTTTGCGCAACAGTGCCGTGCCAATGCTGCCTGAGATTTACCAGCTTCGGGGTTCAACAAAAAAAACATACATACAAAAAATATTATTGTAATTGTTACAACTATGACTACAAGAAAAATGAACAATTTTTTTCAGTTCGCTCAATTAATATTTATTCCTTCAATTAATGTTCCTACAATTCAATTATTCCCAGAAGCATGTTAACTTTTCCTTATTCACAATCTTCTTCGAGATCGTCTTATTATTCGATTATTGTTGGTATTTCAGGTCGTTTTCTATTTTTCAATTCTCAATATTGTTCAAGT